GAAATAAGGAGCCTTCAAAAAGCACGTGTATGAAGAAGTGCGCAAGGTGTTAGCGAAATTTGTGGAAAAAAGCAAAGCCGATTCCTGGAAGATATAGTCGAATTTCGACACTGCAAACAAAGCATTTTGGCAGAACATCTGTCGTCCCCGAGGTGAAAAGAAGAGCAGTCTAAAAGTCGTTAAGGACAAGTTTGAGCACCCTCTTACCGAGGATGAGGAAACTCTTCAGCGAAGGAAATTGTATTTTGAGAAACTCCTTAACATCGAGCAATCGCAGGAAGACGCCCGTAAAGCAGCAGAGAACGGCTATTACTGTTTCTGCAGATGAAATCATTAAAACTGTCAAAAGAAGGCGAAGCAACTATTTCTTGCCAAGGTGACCGTCACAAGGCACAGGGGGCGGCCAATATTAACTTGATGCAAATACACGGAACGAGTCTGCTCAGGCTCCAGTTGTCTTTTGCACACGATCGGGAACATTGGAAGCACTGTCTGACGCGTCTGCCTCCGCCACCCGAATGGAGAAACGGTTTTGGATGATGATGATAAAGATTTAATGGAACTACGCCATTTCATTACTCTTCTCCAGTAATAGATTTCTTACACTTTTTGTTCATCAGTCTTATTATAATTATAACCTTGGCTAAACTCCGCCTTCTGTCAAAAGATTAAATAGTATAGGGTTTCATCACGTCTCCTCAGAGTTAGACGGAGACGGTGAAACTTATTCTCCTAGACGGATGTTCTTTAAACGAGTGCGGAGAATTCTGGCTCAAAACTATTGCCGCGCTTCCTCGTGCAACTGTTTCCGGTTTATGATAGTCCTTATTGATAGAGCAATTCGTTCGTGGGTTGGTGGTCATTCTGGAAACATACAGCTTGCTTATAATCAACGCAAAGGATAGTGTGGTCAGTCCGGTGACGGACCAATACCCACGTTTTGGCCTGTATTTCATGGGCTTCTTCAAAGTAGGTTGGTCTTGAAATTTGTTGAATCTGGCTGGTCGTCCGCAGCAGTCGATAGTTTCGAAGCCGGAATCAAGTTCTCTGTCCGTGCTGCGGGTAAAATAGTTTTTAGGCCACAATGGCAAGAGGGATCATCCAATCCGCGTAGAGTTTGTATCCTTTATCACGGTTGACTCTTTCGCAGGATTGGATGATTATTGCCTCTTTTATCTGTCTGTGAAACCGATGTCTCTGTTTGAGGATGCCGCTGTACTCAGACCATCGGGGTGAGGAGTCTACTTTCTTCGCTGCATGCTGCAAAATCCTGGAGGTCTTCTCGTAGGAGGGCCATTTTGGCAGCGTTTTTGCTGCTATCATGTTCTGCCTCTCCTTTTGAAAACTGTCAGCTCACTGTAGCAATGCTTAACGTTTAGTGATATGTGTCATTGCTGAAAAAATGGATGTTCTAACTGAAGCGCCGTCACCATATGTCAGGTGTTTGTCTGTCTGTTTTAAGTTTGATTAGCCAAATACGCGTTTCACCGTTAATAATGACTTATTTATGCTGCAAGAGTAAATCCCAGATCTTTCCTACTAGCCAGACAGTATTTCAAATGCAAATATACAAGTTGAATGGTAACGTGCAATAATCTAGACTTTTCCTGAATTTGATCTGTGTCAAGAAATCCAGAAATCCATCAATATTTACTTTGGCTTATTCCATGGTTATATTTTATGTTTACAATGTGAATATGAAATACACTAATAAATGGCAAATAGTGAAAATAAATTATTATAAGTAAATAGTAAGGAACCATTAAATTTTCAGATTCTGCTCATTGAGTGTGATAAAATACGACTTATTTTATTTAGTGCGATCCTCTAGTGGAAGAGAAGCGGGACGATATGCATGAATTCTCCCGAATTGGAGTCAAATGGAACTACTGTGATTCACCTCCTGAAGAACCGTCAATGGCAAAGATCACGCCGAACCTCTTCTGCAACAGTGGTGGCAATCTGCTTGAGAACCTAGTCGAAAGAGTTATAGTAGATGAAGGGCTGTGCAAAGCTGACGTTTGGCGACAGGGCAGCGGCGAATGCTCTGGACTGCACGGAAAAATTGCTTCCGGATCATCACCTGAAAGCTCGGGTTCGGGACCGTCGTACTACCAGATCAACTGGTTGGAAAACGTCGGAAGGTGAGGAAAAGACTGGAGAGAAAACAGATGCAGAAATCGTTTTTCTTTCATACTTATGGTACAACATAAAATTCTGA